GCAAATTTCGGCTCCCTCCAAGGCAGCCACCTGACTTTGTGTACACCAGCCATTTGAACATAGTAAATTTCACATGAGTAGTAGAACTCATCATATTAAATATTATTTTCCTAAACTCCTCATTTTGGTCCTTTTAAAATAACCTCTTATTATTCAAATTTAAACTGCCAAAACACCACCTTAAAAGTGGCACAACAGAAACTATGTGAGGTGGTGATGCTAATTAACCGTATTGTAGTAAGCATTTCATAATAGATAGTGTGCCAAATCATCACATTGTACATCTTCCAATAAAGGGTAGTGAGGTGTACAGAGGAAGAGAGGGGGCACCCATCATCCAGTTTCTCCTTCAGCCTTTTGAAGCTCTATTTTTATTTACCTGATCACACTCATGAGAAGGGGTTGCTTTGCAAAAAAGCTTGCTTTAAGAACACTGCATTAACCTTTCAGGTCTTCAGGGATGTTTTGATCTGTCCATATCAGACACATCCCAGAAAGTCTGGAAGTCTGGACATATCTCCAGCAGATGGGTTCCCTGCCTCTCCTTTGTTATGGCCACAGCAGACAGGAAGTGTTCTTCTGCACCTCTGACCAGCCCGCGCATCTTTCCAGGGGGCTTTAGTTGAATCACTGCTGTCTCTGCCCTCTGTTACCTGTCACTAGCAAGGGAGATTGTCAGGCTGACCACTTTATAGGTGTTCAATAGGTATTTTGAAAATTGGGGTTGTTTTTCCTTTACCACTTGCAATTAAAACAAGAATACATCCCACTCCTGATGTCAGTCTGACCTGTAGAAACCACGCATGCTCTCCCTCTTTCTACAGTCAGCAAGAACCAGCTAGTCTGACTAGCTTCACATACCTATTCTTTCTCCCTCTCCTGCTCATGTCCTCCCTTTAAAAATCCCAATACATGGCAACAATCTTTCTCATTTTTTCTGTATTCATGATTTATATTGTGCAACAAATGCTGACTGCAGGATTTGGCAATGTATGCAAATGGCACAACAAAACTGTGAGAGGCAAAGTCAGGGCAATTCCACCACCTGAGAGGCCCTCTTTTCCTTCTCTCAACCGGGCTTCCTCCTATCCTTACATTTCCTCTCTATTCACACAGGGCCCCAAGTCTAACCATTAAGTGACTGTTAAAATCGTCCCTTCTAACATTAGTTGTTAGGTGGCAGCTCAGAGGTATAGTAACATTTTAAAAAGACACTCTTGAAGGAGAAAAGGGAATGACCTTGAGGCAGACACTATCATATCCTCCAGCCATGAGCAAGAAGTCAAAGGTAATTTGGGAACCACCTCTGAGAGTGTACCAGCCATTGAGAGAGTCCTTTTTATATCTTCTACTCATCAGAGCTTTTCCACATGTTACTTCTTTTGAACTCCCCACAGTCTGCAAGGCAGGTAGAGCAGGTATCGTTGTCCACTACTTTACCAAGTATGATGCCAAGTCGCAGAGAGGTTAAGTGGATCTCCTAAGGTCACACAGCTAGTTAGTGTCAGCCTGGGCAGCAATCCTGGCTCTGCAAGCTCCCCGAATAAACCATTTTCCTCACCACAGACGCAAATCTCAAATTCCGTATTCTGGAGACTAGTGACTGCATGGCACTTTCCATGAATGTCCTCCTGTCTCTAATTACCTGTCTGTCTCAGTTCAAGTGAATTCCAGAACATAAGACCTAGCTTTCTCAGCTGACATTCTCTAATACAGAGTAATATAATGAGGCTGCTTACATTCTATCATATAATATTTTTGCTATAATTGTACTGGGACATTTTAAGTGGTGTTATATTTAGTGCTCAGGATTGTACTAACCCTATACTACAAGTACACTTTAAAAATCAAATACAGAGGAGCAGAAAGTCTAAAAGGAATTAAAAGCTACATCCAAGCCTCTGAATTGGGAAATAAAGAATCTTTTTAACATATTCAATTCTGTATGCTCCAAGCTTTAAACCATTTTGTTCTTAAGCCACAGTTTCGCTATCTTACTGGGCACCATGACCACAGGCAAAGGAGAGAAAGGAGATGGGCATGGCATGTTGGCAATGAAACCTTCCGTTATGGAAACATTTGGAAGAAAAGTCATTGGCTTCCCCTGCAGGGGCTTCACTGCTGCTCTTTGATAGCACAAAGACCATAATGAAAGACTTCCTTTGCTACTTGGGCATGAGATTCAAAAACCTGCCTGCCAGACCACAGACCCCCAACTGCTCTTCCAAAATCCCGCACACGGGTCTTTTTGACTGATGGTGTGGAATGAGCCACATCATGTTTCTCAGCCAGAGCATTTCTAGGTGACAATACTCATCAACGTTGCCTTCCATGTAGGTGTTCCAGCTTGGACACTGCTACCAAGGGACAAAACTCTAGTTATGCCCTCCAATCATAAAGACAACCCATAGCTGCCCAGAGCCTGGGGAATAATCTCTAAATCCCTCAACCTGGTATATAAGACTCTTCATAACACAGTCCAAGGCTACCTTTCCAGCTTGATGCCTGGTGACTGTGTTTAACACAAACTTAAGTATTTCCCATTCCTCACGATCATCCTCAAGTCTCCTTATTTGCTCAAGTCACTTCTTCCACCCAGAATACCCTACCCTTCTCTGCCTACAATTCCTACTCAATGTCAAAGGCCAGCTCAAAAACTTATTTTGCCCCAAATTTAGCTATGTATATACATGCCTTTTCAGTTATGTTACCTAGTACTTAATGTAACAAATTTGTTCATGATAGATGCTCAATAAATTTAATTGGGTAAGTGGGTAAATGTCATGCGTCCACACCATAGTCTCATGCGGCAGGAAAGTGAAGTAGGGTCTCACTGGCAGCCCAGCCCCATGTCAGCTGGTGAATCAGTAGAACATTAGCAAGAGCCCTTTGCAGTTTGCTCTTTGCAACTGGTCTGCTTTTCTCCATTTGGGATTCAGGGATTTGGGCCTCTTGCCCCAGTCAAATGTATATCCACCACATTGGTGCATAGTTAGAAAGTTTTTTCCTTAGGATTCACGAAGGTTTGAAGAAATAATGATACAAACATTTTTTCCTAGAGGACTTTGTCATTCTGACAAGGTTGTGTGGTTTAGAAATAGTTAAAAAAGACAAATCCCAAATAAAAAGTCAAGATCCCAAATGGAGGACAGAGGACTGTCACTTAAAGAGAGATTTGCCAGCCCCATCTCAGAGTCCCAGGACACCTCTAACGTGGCAATCTTAGTGAAAACTGTGCTTGTTGCTCCTCCAGTGTCCTCCGTAACCAGACTCCTAAAGTGTGACTGAGACTTGACCTAATGAAATCCAACAGGCAGGGTCCCTGAGGCCACTGAAGCACGAGTCTGCATTTCTCAAGTCAGTGTAAGAGAACCTGAGCCGTGCACAGCGGAGGGTGGGCCAGGAAGCTATCTGGTGTCCAAGGGCACTGCTGGGGCTTTAGAATAATCACACAGGGTTGTAACTGGATGCTGTCTGGGGCATTTAGGCACTTAATCATCTCAATCAGTCATCTTTTATTCATAAACACGAGAAACGTTTTCTCAAGCTGTTTGCATTGCCCTTTCATGTTACACCAATATTATGCTCTCCCAACTTTTTACTTTATGGCACATAAAATGCCCCTGGCCAAGTTCAAGCACCATGTCACCATGGGCATCAGTATGATACTGGACTGGGAAGGCTGATCACCGCTGCTCCCAGAGCCAGTGTGAGCATCTGTAGTTCAAAGGCAACACTGTCAGCAGTTCATTAACCGCATTAAGCCTGTAAATCCACAGAGATGTGAGACAAAAAACCATGTCATGGGAGGCAGATGCAGACCGTACCATTCTCTCAGTTGTCCATTTTATTCTAGCCTTGAAGGAGAAGATTCCAAGTGGTAGGATTATTTTCATTATGCCTTAACTGTTAAAAAATCAGCAGGAAATTCTTAGCAGTATCCATCAACTTAATCACGAGGGGAGCCGGACCACATTGCAAGTCCACACCACCCCAAAGGGTATACTCTTTCCACAGGGTCCAGCTTCTCCTACCTTAACCCCAAGTGAGTGGGCAGAAATGCAAAGCATGGACTGTGTCAACAAGTTACCTCTGGGCAAGGCCTGTATTGCAGTCATTATTCCACCCCTGGGCTCCACCTCATCACTTGACACCCAGAAGCAGACTTTACATGGATTAAGGGATTAAGAACAAAGGCTCTGGAGTCAGACTTCTAGGGTTGGCTCTGTTTCAACTACAAGGCCTTACTGAATCCCTTAGGGTCTCACTTTCCTCATCCATAAAGTGTGAATAATAATAATACCAATGCACACAATTACTGGAGTAATTAAATGCATTCACATATGGGAGGTGCTCAGTCAAGGTAGCTGTTATTTGCATTGTCTTGAATTCAGCCATGATCCATTGTTTTGGGGGGTTTATAGGTCCTAAATTCATTACCTCAGTTCATCTGTAAAAAGGGAAAGAAAACACAGACCTTTTTTTTTTTTTTTATGTCAAGCCTCTAGCTCATGATTCTCCAAGTGCAGTCTGCGGGCTTCTGGGAATCCCTAAGACCCAAGACCCTAAGACCCAAATCCTTAAGACAAAAACTATTTTCATAGTAACACTACAATGTTGTCTTTTTCATTCTCACCCTTTCATGAGTGTACAGCAGAATTTTCCAGAGGCTACATGTTATGTGATGATGTCACCACTTAGTTAATGGAATGTATAGTGTGCTTGTACACTCTTGGGTTTTTTTATATTCCAAATTATCATTTCTAACACAGCAAGTAGCATTAGCTATAACCCAAATCTCTTTGGGGATACTTAATATTTTTTAGAGCTTAAAAGAGACCTTGTGGCCAGAGTTTGAGAACCTCTGCTAGACTGTCTCGCGTTAAAGCCCCCCTCCCCCACTCCATTTCAAAATCTGTAATGTGAACAATGCAAAACTCAGTCCCCACCTTGGAGACTCTGACGCTGCACCGCCTGCATTTTGCCATTGTGTGTTTCAGGCTGTCTGGGTCTGACTTTCCCGGCGAGGAGTGGCTGTGCGACTATGAGAAGCACGGCCATCGCCACTCCGTGATAGGAAGGGTCAAGAGGTTCCTGAGCGTCCACGAACAGACCCCCATGCCCAGGAGGAGAAGCTACGGGAGGCAGGCCAGTGACAGCTCCATGTTCTTTCCCCCAAGTGACCTCAGCGCCGCCCAGGATCTGCTGGACGTGCCCTGCAGAAGCCCCCACCGTGCCGCAGCCACGCGGAAGCAGTTCTCCTCCCCAGAGGGGAGCCCCAAGCAATACTGCAGCCTGGGCGAGCTGTCCACGATCAGGGAGGCCAGCCGGACCAGCACTTTACAGAGCCTGACCCCGCAGTCCAGCGTGAGGGCCTCCCTCTCCAAAATGCCGCAGGTCCCCGAGGTCCTCATCACAGCGGCGGAAGCCGCAGAGCCCATATCTCATGGCTCCACTGCCTCCGTCCAGAGCTCCGAGTTCACTGGGGTTCAGCCAAGCGGTCCTGGGCAGCAGGAGGACCCGGGGGGACCCATCCTGTTCCCCTCAGAAAAAGGGACACCTCCTAGGGAGAGCAGTCCCCAGGGTGTTCCAGCCAAAGCTGAGAGAAACACCCCCCTTTTAGCCTCTGAGGAAGACCCTAATGACGATAACAAGTTCTGGACAAGGTGGAGCGGCCCAGGGATCCTGGGGCCCCACCGCACCTCCCAGGCGGGCCTAAGTCCAGATCCCCTAAGTCCTCAGCCGGTTCTTTTACTTGACACAGAAACATCCCCAGACACCAGGGGAATCAACCCAGTGGCTGGCTCTCAAGTCTCTCCCCATGTGCTGTATTTACTGGAAAACCTGGACACCAAGGAAACAGACATCATCGATTTTAACAATGAGCAAACAGAGGAATCACCCCAAGGAACGCCAGAAAGTTCCAGGACCTGGTTCTAGCCCAGATTCATACTTTCCCAGAAGTTACGCATTAGTTATATAATATGACTGGAGACTGGCAATTTTTTTAAAAAACCATCATAGTGTACAAGCTACTCAAAACTTTGAAGGGCATTAAGATCCTGACTTTGGAGAACTGAGAAAATCAAACACATTCATGTCATCCATCCCAAAGTAACTTCCATGGAAGTTACATAGACCATAGTGATATAGACCATTAGCTCTAGAATCAGCCTCCATAGGCCCATAGTCTAATCCCTTAGCTTTGCCAACAGGGAGACAAAGGAGTCTCTTCCCCTTGCTTTTTTTTTTCCTTCAATCAGAGACAGGGAGGTGGATCATGTAATGCCTCAAAAGCCCCATCCTCATTACGATTCTTTGAGGCTGTCTAGCCATTCGCACTCCCATTTTTATAGCTACTGTCACTTCCTAATATTTAAGCTTTCTCTGCATCTGGAAGCTCCACCTATCCTCAATTTCATTTTCTACTTTCAAGACTTCACTATGCTCTCTTCTCCCTCTATTCTCTCATCCTTCTGTCCTTCCTGCTACTCTAACCTGCCCGGCCTTTCAGCTTACAGTATTTTCTCTTGCCAACTCCGTTGCCTACTTCTTACCATGGTTTTCAAATATGAGCCATCGGGAAGGGCCCTGCAGAGGAGTCAAAGCTGGCAAACCAGCCGCACCTGCCGTCCCGCTCACAGAAGGGGCTGGGAGCTGATGGGCCCCACCATGTGCTCCGCAGCTGTTGCTCTACCTTCCTGCATCCACTCTTTAGTCTTGAACCCTGGGGAAACATGAAGTCAAGAGGACATGGAACCAAAGAATAATGAGGCTTGAATGCGTTTAACTCAAACTCTTAGAGCAAAACTCCCAAGGTCACAGCATGGGACCATTTCCTGCATCTGCCATGTTGTCTGGGTCGAGGTAGGATATTGGAGCTGGGAGGAGAAGGGGCCCAGGGCTGCACAATGCAGATGGGACGCTCACAGCTCCCTCTGAGAGTTCTTGGGGCAGCAGCTGTTTACTGAGGCCTTCCAACTTCACCTTGTGAGTGTTGCTCAATCCCTGTCATGTGATGCAGCTCTGGCCTCAGAAATAAAATAACCTTAATTGCTGACATTTTTGAGTGCTCACAGTTCCAGGCAGCAGTGTGTGATGCTCACAGATGATCTCACTAATCGTCACAGGAATCCTACAAGTTGATGTCCTCATACCTCCATTTTAAAGAGGAAGAATATGGCCTTTGGAGAAGTACAGCATTGTGACTAGAACCACATAGCCAAGAAGTGGCAGAGCCCAGATTCAAACCCAGGCTTGGGACTCAAGAGCCCTCACTCTGAGCCAGCAAGCCCTCTCACTGGACTGTGTGTCAGGCCTTGACTTGGCCAGTAGTCTGCCCGGAACCCTACCCCCAAGGGAGCCATGCCTAAACCTCTCCAGTCTGGAGGCCCCTCTGTGTCCTCCCTGTTTGGGTCTGCCTGCGCCTCTTATGTGCACAGGAGGGCACTGCTCCACCTTTGAGCCCAAACACAGTTCTCTCAAATTTTCTGACCAAAGAAAATTGGCAGGGCCTCTCCCTCCCTCCTGCGTACTCCTCCTGTTACGCAATGTTATAATCAGCACATGTTTACAGATATCGCATCCAATGAACCATCCCAGCTGCAATATTTACTTGAACTATTGTTTCTCAAAGAAACTAAGAGGAAATCTTATTGGAAGAAATGCTGTACCCTGATGGTTCTCTGCAAAGGTGCGAGCCTGTGGGAAGACACTGGTTTTCTCAAAGCCTTCCATACAGATGGTACCATGAAGCTCAGTATAAAATGCTGAAAGGCAGGCCCCCTAGCCTCCCCCTGCCTCCTGTGCTATGTTCTTGGCTGTTTCAGCCTAAGTCCTCTGTTCTCTTCAGTTTTATCTACTGCTCGGATTCAAATACTTTTCTACTTAGCTGCTTTTGAAATATAATCAGTTTGTGTTCCTAAGTCCAAGTGAGAAATGGTACACAAGTAGAATCATACATTTGTGGAGGACCAAGAGAGTGTCCATGTACCTCTGCTACCATCCATTCCTTAGGCACCTTTGTCCAGAAATTTATTTAAGTTCCTCAATATTTCATCAAAATCTAAGGTGGCCTCCCATTTCCTCCCTGCACTGAGAAATGAATAATGACTTGTTCAATGAGCCCCTGTGGTTCAATTCAGCTATAAATTCAAGCCAGCAATTGCCCAGCTCACAAGAAGATATTCTCTAGTTATTTGAAAATGAGTTTTTACCCAACATAGACCAAATGCTAAAACAAAATGCTTTCTTCCCAGGTGCCTGATTTCATTGCCTGCCTGGCCCATTTTCTCCTGAGCTCTGGAAACTTCTACCCCTGGATGAATGGTCCCATGACCTGGTGGCTTGTTCATTGCAAGGACAGGCTCTGTTCTGCATGAGATGTAATCCAAAAGCCAGAAGGTACAAAGAAGCTGACCCCTATTTGCTGCAAGCTCTCTCTGCCCACTAGGGACAACTCTGCCCTGACACCAGCGTCCACAGGTCAGGAAAAGCAAAGGCCCACAAGCTTTTTCTCAGACATCCAAGAATTTGGGGGATGACTGGCCCCCCACAAAACAACGAAGGCTCTTCTCTCTGCATCTGTAAATGTCCTGTGTGCTTCCTGGCTCACCACCACTCCCACTCCAGGCATCCACTTTCAGCCCAGCTCAGCTAAACTATGGAAAACATATTTTAAATGGAATAGAGAAATGGTAACTTTACCATTAAAGAAAAGACTCCCTTAAACATACATCCTCTTTTTCAGTGTTTTCCCCCTCTGGCTTTTTCTCCAGAGAAATTAAGTCAATCCTCAGTCATTATTCTCAGGCCTTTTCTTCATAAACTCTGCTCCCCAAGAACTTGCTGAGCCCAGGCAGCCATGGGGCATAACAGCAAGGACTACAAACCAGCCTGTGACTTCCCTCCAAGCAGCTTTATGAACTTGAACAAGGCCTCGTCCCTCTGAATCTCATCTGCTCATGTGTGAAATGGGCTTTCCTCTGCACCAGCTCCCTGGCCATTAGGAAGCTCAAAGGTGTTGATGTGGAAAGGCTGGGCTGGGGCCCCAGTTCACACTGTCTGGGGGACAGCATGACTGGGATGGATCATCTCCGGCCTCACCCCAGCTGCAGGAGAAGAACTCATGCCCTCCCCTTCAGTCATCTGCTTGCAGGATCCCCTTATTCTCCAGGACTGCTGCCTCTTTCATTCAAAAAGCTTGTCATTTCTCTTTTGGCCTTATTTTGTATGCTCTTTCATCTGTTTCTGAGGATCTGCCACCTCTTCCTTCTCTCTAGCATTTTCCATCATTCCCTCGTCTCTCACCATATCCCAGGTCTCATCCCCCATGGTGACCAGCTCCTCCCCAAACCTGGTATATATGTATCAATCTCCTCAATCAAAATATGGAATGAGAGAAAAATGAATTGCTCTTCCTCTTTCCGCTATAATTCTAGGGGATTAGCACTCCTGGCTCAAAGTCAGAAGACCCTCTTAGGGTGTCTGATCTTCCTAAACTTGCTCCTACGGCCACTGATTAGGAACAACTACAGCTGTAAAAATTCCCAAGCAAAAGCCAAATTCAAATCCAGTTTCTCCCGTCCTTCCCTCATCGTCACCACCATCGCCGACAGAATCCACGGCAAGCATTTCCTGGGGTGCAGAGTATCAACAGTAACAGCCAAGGAGTTTCCTCATTTCTTCCTCTTGGACTATCTCAGGAACATCCTCAGTCCCTTCACCCGCTGTTTCCTTAGTTCTATGAACCCTGGTTTTTAGGACAGTCTTTCCCACTGAAATGGCCATTGAGTCAAAAGAAACAATTTCAGAATGCCAGGATCATTCTCTTACTGAAAATCTTAGAAAACCCGGAAGCCAGAGCTTAAGACGCAGGACCCCAGCGAGCATTTGCTTCTGCCCAAACTCCACTCTCCCTGCTGCCCCTCTGCTGTGTGTGGCCAGGTCCCCCCTGGCCAAGGCAGGTGGAAAAAGGAAGCAAATACCCTGGAAAGTAGAGCATGAAACCATACTTGCCCTGATTACTCAATTTACGCAGACTGAAGATTGAGTTCTGTGTTCTGTTTGGTTTTGTTTCAGAACTAATGCAGAAAATAGGCCCAAGCCCCCCTTTCACCACAGGTAGATTCGGCCAGATTATTTCCTGGAACCACTTCACTGAGCTTCAAGTTTTAAACATTTCCCCAAAAGAGTGAGTGAAGGGAATATTGTATCTTGTATCCTAAAAACAAGTAAAAGCATTTCTAAAATAGATTTTGTGCAGAAATGCCACTGTGCCCCAGGTTGTTTGTCTAGGTTGGCAGTGCTCAGGGGACATTTTGGGTTGTCACACTGGGGACTGTGACTGGCATCTAGCAGGTAGAGGCCAGGGGTGCTGCTTGATATCCTGCAAGACCCCACCACAACTACTGGGCCCCAAATACCGAGCTGGGGACCTGATTCAGGCCAATAAAAAAAGTAAAAATGAGACAAGCACCCAGGAAATCAATGAAGAGAAATAAGAGAGAAAAAAACTAGAAGGGAACAAGGGAACCCAGAAACTGGCTAGATTCCTATTCTGTGCCCAGGCTGTGAGCTAACCGCCATTTCTCCCTGATGCTAAAAGGATCTGATTGGCCACATCCAGAAAAACAGGATGTGAGCCCAGAGGTGCACCCTCAGAGATCTCCTGGGATGGCTCTTACAGCAAGAGTAGTTCAGCACCTTTGTAAGCCTAAGAGTGTAGCTTACATAAAAGGTAACAATCATATACCAAATATTGTACAAGAACTTGCGCCAATAAGCTGCTAGACAATGGAGAGCCATCTTACCCAGTGTCAGCCTTTATATAGTCTTACTTAGGACCAAACCAATAAACCATACCTTCTTGAGAAATAATTCAGCATTTTATTTTTTACAGAAGGAATTTTTTAGAAGGAAATAGTTATGGTGGGTAGGATCAGTCTATCTCCTCCCTGCGGGCCAAGCACCTCCAAGAGAGTACAGCAGGGAACTGGCACTGTCTCGGATGATGTCACCAGCTGGACTTCTACTCATAGTCATCCATCAAATATGAAGCATTATCGGGGTCGGGTGTTCAGCTGAAGGTGGGTGGGTGGGAGTTGCGCCCTTCTGCCCACCTGCCTGACCTGTCACTCCTCTGCAGGGCTGTGTCAATAACAAATGCCCTCAGAAGCTGAGCTGATTGGTTCGTTGCTTTCCTTTCATCCCCAGTCCCGTTCCCCCTCCCAACTATTCTAATTTGTTTAATGTAAAGCCCTTTGTTTCTATATGTTCTTACAAAACATGTATTACTGCTTTGGTTACTGGACCCTACAAACTCCAAGGGGAAAAGCACTTTGCAAGCAAAGGATCAGTCTCATTTGTTTCCTAAAAAAAACAGAATTCAATCACTTTCATCACTAAGGAAAGTGAGAACACAAGCAGATTCACCTCCCTTCCCTGTGAACTTGCTCCTCCTGGCCCTGATTCAGAGGCTGTGAGGATCCTGCTACTTCCGTCCAAAGAAGAAGGTGCAGGTATAGCTGCCAGAGGTCAGATGGGTAACGCCATTCTCATGGGTATAGTGGGGCACTTGCCCACCTGTCTGAGGAGGCAGCCATGCCACTTCCACTGGGACGTGAGCTCCATTCACTGTCTTATGCAATCAGTGTACCCCCCTTGCTTAGGACAGTGCCCAACAGGGAGGGAGGATGGAAGGAAGGGAGAGAAACCAAATTAGATATAGACCTAGATCCGAAGCTGAGAGACCTGGGAATCTCCATCAGATGTGGCCACAACCTTAGCTGTGTGGTCTCAATCAAGTTATTTGACACTTTGGACTTCATTTTGCTCAACTCTAAAATTAATGGTTAGAATAAGTGACTTCAGATCCCCTTCAACTGCTGATTCTAATAACTTTTCTGGAGATTCTATACATGGGGGGAGGAAGAAGAGACAATTATGATAAATATTGAGAAAATGGACCCAAAAGGCAGAAAGAAACAAAAAAAAGAGTGGGATAAGGGAGAGGATAAGGGATAAGAGGGATAAGAATTAACACCTACTGGGTAGTTGGGGTGTTATGGGTGTTTTACATTTATCATTTCAGTCCATCCTCACAAAGTACTGTGACCCATTGTATGGGAAGAAAGAGACATTAAATAAGTTCCTGAAGGTAATGTATCAGTTAAAATTTCCATCAGGGATTTCAGCACATGCCGCATCAGCTCATTGCTGACCGCTATTCCACACTGCATGCACAAAACAATGGCCTAGGATATGAGAGAAATTTCTGGATTTAGAAAACAACAGATGAGCAGCCAATTGCCATAACCACTTAACCAGCCTCACCGACTTGGCCTCAAAGCCTATGGGGAAGCCAACATTAAGTGAGTAACTTATTATGTGCCAGGTGCTCTTTTTAAGTTGTAGGTAGGTGCTGTACAAACACTGTCATGTTTAATTCTCTTTTAACAACCATGAGGAGTTGCCATGCCCACTTCACAGACAAGGCAACCGAGGCTCAGGGAAGTGAAACGGTGAGCCTGTCACAGAGCTGATCACTGGCAGAGCTGGGATGCCAGTCAGGTCTTCACATAAGGGATGAAGCAAATATACCATCTCCCTGAAGGCAAGCCCAACCCTAGGGCCTATTTATCTATAAAAACATCTATTTCTTCCCCATAGTTAAACCTGTTCTTGTGTCCTTCTCTTCATGTGGAACAACTTAAACTCTGGGGTATAATATAGGATTACAGTTTCTCATTAATGAAGGTGGTTTGAGTGCCTAAAACAGGCCTGTGGATCTGGGACAAGACCACCAATTACTTCTCTGTGAATGTGTGAGGTATACATGTGTGTCCTTCGGGCTGCTGGCATCATAGTAAATGTGTGAGACTTCGATGAATTCAACTATGGGAGCTTGGCAAAGGGAAGAGAAGCCCTTGTAAACATGTATAAAGAAAAGGCCCTCCTCACACAAACCCTCCTCCCCAGGGAACACAAGTCTCAGAGGGAGTGGGAGATGGAAGGGGTAAATTCCTCTCACCCAGCCTCAGTTCCAATGTGCTGAGAGTGATTTCAGTGTGTAAAGACATAAAAACTAGAATTTCTCAACTTGGCTCCTAAACACAAGCCAACCATTTCAGGTGCTGTTCCACTGAGAAACTTCCAACAATTTTTAGCATCCAGCCACGTGGGCTTCCTGAGAAAGGTATTAATAAACATGCCAACACGGATCCTCCCTAAGAGAGCTTCAGTGGTAATTTTAATGAGGTAATTTTCCTCATTATGTGCTGATTGTAGGGCCTAACCTCCACATAAGGTCACTGCGGTGTGTTCATTCCCCAAGGGTTTATACTGGGGTGTCCCAGAAGTACCAGTTTCCAGGAAGAGAAAGGGCAACAGAGAAGCACTTAAAGCAATTTCAATGACTCGTTAAAGAGAATAATATTTACTAGCTAGTTCCTTTATTTAGTGGACTGAGCCAAAGTTACATATATAACTTTGGTCTGCAGTGGAAAACTGGTGACTGGTGGTCTGAATCTGATTTTCTGAGAGCTCTTGCTTGGCCATGATTCTCCAACTTACCACAGTCTCCACCATTCCTTATCATCCTACAGTGGGCCTGCCTCACTCAGTGTTGCCTCTTTGACCCTGGTAGGTATCTTGAGTTTGCAATTCTTATACTAAAGTATCACCAGCTCCGTGTAAACCTGCAGCACTGCAAGTTCCCTAAACTCTGCAAAGAGGGAAAGAAGATGTAAAGTTAACAGTCTCAGATCATCTTTCAATTCCCTACAACAAATGCCAGCAGCCCCATGCTACATCTAGACATGTTAAACCTGTACTCTTTTCTCTTTCTGACCTGCCTCTCTGGGTGACTGTACAGTCTTAGTGTTCTCCCTGGCTTGGTGACGGTGCAAATCACTGGAGACCAGGGAGTGCCAGCACTAACTGGCCATGCTTGACCAGACTCCGGCAGCAGCAGGCCTTGCAGGATGCCAGATCTCAGACTGGGACAGTATGCATTTCTTTGTCATTCCCACTGGAGGAACTTGAGCCTCTCCACTCAGGTCTGTGTAGCCACAGCTGCTGTTCACAGTACCCAGCAGGTGGCTGTCACTCACCATGGGCAGAGGCAGCCCCGAGTCCCCCTGCTATTTCCAGCCATCAACCGCAGACACATGGGTCTGTCTGAGGTCAGCTCCAGGGCAAGTGGCACAGAGCACAGAATAATGGGGGCAGCTCCACAGAGAGGGGAGGTGAAAGGGTATGTAATTTTGTAAAGTCAGTTTCACTCACCTAAGGAAAAGGGCACCCAGTGAGCTCTCTTCCTGCTGGGCCCTGGCTTTGTTTACCAACACCAAGTCCACAGTCCCTTCTCTTCAGGGGTACCCAGACAGCCTGTGACAGGACTCCTGAGGAGTATGAGGATAAAGAGCAGGAAGTCCAACATCAGGTTAGAAATGGGCTCTGTCCTTCTGTCCCATCATGGGGTCCCTCAGCCACCAGAGTGGTTTCCTCTCAGCTGCCTTGCCTCTGCTACCCAGGTCAAGGGGGTCAATGCTGGCCCCACGCATGGCTTTTGCAAATCCCACTGTGCTGTTACCCTGTCAACTCCCAGTACAATTCTGATATAAACACAGCTCCCAAGACCCAGAGCTGTCCAGAGTTGGTGGTGACATCCAGAACTTGAAAGCTGCTGATCCACACAGTCCCATCCTTCAGGGGCTGTGGAATCAAAAGGAGCAGATGGGGATCACATGGGTATTACTGCTGCCCACCATCCACAAGTGAGGCTGGCTGGGTACCAGGCTTGCACCTCCCGATATATTTTTCAGCAGACAGCGTGTGCTTCTGTGGGTCAGTGGCACAGCTTATGTAAGACAAACCAACAGTGTTCCATAGCCCACAGGCTCCCAGGGCACAGAAGGAAGAGGGAGCTCGTTTCCTCTTTACATTCCATTCATAAAACTGAATTTCACATGTGGCCTAATAGGCCTTTGTCAGGAAGAAAACACAAGTGTGGGCTTTGGGACTCAGATGGCACGGGCTCAAATCCTGACTCTGCCACTGCTTGGGAAAGTCACTTAGCCTGTCTGCAACTTGGTTTCCTTCTAGAAAACATGGGGATAAAAGTAATACCTATGATCATGACGCAGTTATACATACAAAACTCATAATTTATTGTGTATCATTTATTAAGTTCTTAATATATGTTTGCTATCATTATTTTATCCTTGTTATTAAATAGCATGGTGGTTCGGGGAGAGGCCACTGGGTCCTTTTTGGGCTCAGACCCTTACTAGCTGTGTGACCTACGCCAAGTTACCTGACCTGCCTTGGCCTCGATTTCATCAACTACATAAAATGGTACTAATGCCAGTACCTTCACTGTTGGTTGTTTTAAAAATTTAAAGCAAACAATCAATGCAAAACAATAAACACAGGGCCTGATGCAAAGTTATGGCTCAGGAGTTGTTACCTATCTTTATTATTACTTAATGAAGTGGGCTTATTTTAGAGCAAAAGTAAGATTTGAGAATATTTTATGTTTCTTCCCTGAAGTTACAAAAATGACTCTTGCTGAGTCAAAGATCGAGGTGCATCATTTCCTGGCCTTCCCGCCTTAGACTGATTTGATAAAACAGCATACAGCAGACTCCACTTGCAGAGGCAAAGGCCAAACAGTGGAACAAAAGCAGAGGCTTTCTCAGTCAGTCGGCCCTAACCTGTCTGGTGGGGGAGGCCTGGGACGAAGACAGGGCTGCGGGGTGATCAGGGCCACCACTGGGATACATGGGGCCCCATCTATGTAAACAATCTGAATCTCCCCAAATCAGCATGTCATTTCTGGGAGCCCAGTTTCACAGGGAAAAAGGAAAGAAGAAAAAGGGGAGAAAATACACTTGCCCAGGGAGTGACCTGCTGACTAGCCAGTTTCCTCCTGCACCCAGCACGCGGGGGCATCCCCAGCCCCTGCCATGAGGGAGGGACTTTAGAAGAAGGTGGTCCAAAGCACAGAGGGCTTGTGGAGCTGGAGATGGGGCTTGCTGAGGGCAAGAGTCCCTGGGACTAAGGTGACAAAGGAGAACAAAAAGGGAGGAAGCATGGGGTGGAGAAGAAGGAAAAGGAAAAGGAAAAGCTGGGGAGAGGCCCACGCAATCTCTCAGGCCCACTCGGCACCCCCAGGGGCCTGCCTCCTTATAGTATCGACAGCAGGCCCCAACGCCCTGAAATTCAAGGACATTGCCAGACTGGGGCTAAGAGGAGCCCATCACACACACTTTATTTCTTAAAACTTCTGTTAACATTTAAAATCTCTTCCAAATAGATTGCTTACCAAAGAGAGAATCCAAGAAATTGGCAGCAAAAAGTCTCACCAGGAGGGAAAACAATGCAGTAAAGTGAGTGTGCTGAGCTCAGCAGCTGATTCCACAAGCACGTCCCAAGGAGTGCTTGGTGCCTGGGCGTGTTAGCCAGGCTGAGGAGGTAGAGTAGGGCAGGATGGGAACAGAGAAGGCAAACCTGTGCCGATAAAATCCAACAGTCCAAGCAGAGGTAGGGAGCTTCAGCCTTCCCCATATCTGGGGTCCCTCAGAGGCAGGTGCTCCTCTGTTTTTGCACCAATGGGACATTAAGGAATAGAGAGTCCCTTCATCTGCAGGGCATCAAGGAGCAGACCTCAGCGGCCACTGGTAGAACACTGGCAGCAGGCTGCTCACCTTGGTCTCCACATCACTGATC